CGCCTGGTCCCGGAGCCCGCTCCTTGCAAACTCTCCATTCACTCGGGTTTGTTGTTGCAGTGCGTGCGCCTGGCGCGTGCCGGACTCGGGGCTGAATAAACAGGCGGCGCGCTCGGGGCGGGCTGCAGCCAGGGGGTGGCTCCAGAAACCGGGGGCGACGGGTTCCTGGAATTGGGGTGCGTGGGTGGAAAGAGTTGGAGTGACGTTCACGGAAATTTCTCTGGGAACTTGGAGCAAAGCGCAGGGAAGGGTTTGGGCAGAGAAAGTGGCCCAGGATTGAGGTTAGGGGGACTCCATTTTCCTGTTTCCTTCTCCCCACTGTCATTGTCTTGAGGCTGTTCATGGTCTTTCAGGGATGGATGCAATTTTACAGGATTGGGGTTTAAAAAGATGAGGGAGAACTCCGGCCAGGGTCATGGGAAAACTATCAGGAGTATGCTCAGACTTGAGTTCGAGTCCCCACTCTTCCTCTCACTAGCTCCGCTGCCTTGGGTTCAGGGGTGTACCCTCTCAGTGTCAGTTCTTCTCCGCGGTAATAGATGGTTGGACGGGATGGTCCTTGGTAACGCTGCCGTGGGAGCCTGGGTAGTTCAGTCCCACCCGCCGCTCTGCGCTGGAAAGGTGAGGCTATTTGCTTCCGTAAAGATTTACAAAGACTCCGGAAACTCAGTATGGGGTCTCTGTGAGCTGCAGTCGACTAATGGCAGTGGAAACCAAACAATGTCCTCCCTAGAAGCCTTGGTGTCGCAGAGAAGCATGCAGCTGCCAATCAAAAGATTGGCGGTTCAAACCCAACAATCGCTCCTCGAAAGGAAGATGAGGCAGTCATCCCCCATGAAAATGCACAGCCTTGGAAACCCTATGGGGCCAGCTGCCCTTGGTCCTATGGGGTCTCTAAGAGTCTGGAGTCAACTCCGTGGCAACTAGTAGGGGCAATTCCCTTCCATCTCCAAAAACGATGGACGTTTCACCCACAACTGAGACAGACAGAACTGAGCGCAGTGAGGTGAGCGGCTGGGGCTCTGCTCCCAGCCGATCTCTGCCATGGACACCGCCCTCTCACACTCCAAACATTCTTGTGATCACAAGTGTGGGTGGGCAGGAAGACCTCCAGCCAACCTTAGCAGCATCACCCCCTTTCTCTCCTCTTGACCGGCGGGGGCGAGGTGGAGACAGTGGTGGGAGGCTACTCGCTAAGATCCCGGCAAGGGTCTGGCGGAAAAGACCTCTGACTCAGGAGGGCCACACTGGCGCTTGGGGCCCGGCAAAGTTTGCCCCTTGTTCCGCCCAGCTGCAGGCACCTCCGCAGCCTTGGCGCAGTCTTCATCCCGCCCCAGGCGTGTGCCCGGCGGCCGGTGGCAGGCGACTGGGAGCAGAGCCCGGCGGGGCCGCGTGCTGGCGCTGCGAGGGAGGGGGAGGCGCTTGCAGCCTTCTCTTGGCCGCTTGGACAGCGCCCTCCCAGGCGCCCTCCCTGGGCCCTTGGCCCTGGTGCTCGCTGGCTTGAGCCCCATCCAGCTACCGGGCGCCTGAGGACGCTGCTTTGTGGGGAAAACAGACCCAGCCAGGCGTCACAACGTTGCCTACCTAGAGCGGGGACGTTAAGGCTGCCCCGCCATCTTGCCTGGGGAGAGGAGGGCAATCCTTGGGTTGATTTGTCCAGCAGAAATAGGCACCTTTGATCAAACCTGGGCGCAGGGACAAAGGTGATGCGTTATCCGAGTCATTGCTTCTGATGGTACGTTCCTTTGTAGAGATTGCCATTTTTAAAGGGTCCCTGGAGGTGGCCCAGGAAACTGCCCTGGCTGTGTGTTCCCAGATTTTCCGGCAGTGGTGCTCAGAGATATGAATTGTCAGAGCCTACTCAATGTGCACGTGTACACCACCTGCCCTCCCCCTCCCCCTTGAGTGTGAGCCTTCATGTGCTAGCACGCACCTACACACACCCTGATCGGGCACACAAATAGAAGTGCCTGCTTATGAAGCCAGGCATGGTAGAGGCTCTATGTATTGGTTTTAGCCCAGCAGAGAAGGCAGCGGGTGCATGGATCCTCTCAGTCAAAGGCAACATTGTCCTCTGTTCTCCTTACATGCTTGCAGTTATCTCCCAGAACCCAAGCTTTCTCCTCCCCCACTCCATCCCAACTGGAAGAAACTAAAACAATACTCCCACCACCACCACCACCACCAGACTCCCAGCCTGTCTCTGCCATGGACACCTGCCTCTCACACTCCAAGCGAGAACATTCTAGAATTTTTATGCACTGCCAGAAGTTTCCCATTGGAAGTGGTTTTCTGGTTGTTTTCACCAAGTGAAAGCCAAGGATGGAGGCTCAAGACCCAGAATTAGAATTCTGCCTTTGACCCTGCCACTCAGAGTAAGACACTTCTTCCTTGGTCCCCTCTGAAGAGAATTGTCCACACGTGCTCCTATGAGCAGGACATCAGAACCAACCCATCACTGAAACACCTTGCCACATTGTTGATTCTGATCCTTTGTGGCCCCATAGGACAACGGACAATTGTGCCATCATGTCTGAGGCTTTACTCTTTATGGAGCCAATCTGCCACTTTTTTTTCTTCTAATTCAGAGTATCTGGTGGTGTTGAACTGCCAACCTTTTGATTTTTAAACAAATGTGTAACCATGGCACCACCAGATGTAGGTAGGACTGAGAGACATGTTAGGTGGGATTGACATGGTGTCGAGGCTCTGAGAGTTAAGAGCAGTGTGAGTTTGAGCAAACCCTTTCCTCATGGAGGAAGCCACTTTGTTCCCTCGCTTGTGCCATGCTCCCAGCTGTGGTACCAACATCAAAGGTTTGTGGAATTTCACTGAGGTGATGGATGTGAAAGCACCCAAGAACAATTCCATTCACTGCCCTTGACTCACTGCTGACTCATAGCAACTCCATGGGATAGAGTTAAGCTACTTCAAACCACCAACATCGGTCAGCAGCCCAGTACTATATCCATCAGGCCACCAGGGCTCCTAAATCTAAACACTCACTTCCATTCAGTTGATTCTGACTCCGATTGGCCCTGCAGAACAAAGTAGAAGTGCCCCCCACCCCCCATGGGTTTCTGAGACTGTAACCCTCAGGAGTAGAAAGCCTCATCTTTCTCCTGTGAAACATCTGGTGGTTTCTGACTGCTGACCTTGAAGTTAGCAGCCCGACATGTCATCACTACACCATCAGGTTTCCAGGACAGGAAAGATTGAATGTGAGGAGCCTTTCTAACACGATAAGACAGTGTTTCTAACACGATAAGACAGCCTCCATCAGCCCATCTGGGGAGAGATCTGTGGGAGGAGAAAGTCCCACCTACTGTCTTCCTAGAACCAGGCAGAAGAGTTAAGACAGCTAAGCTCATTGCTCTAGCTGCTATCCGCTCTCCTAGCACCTGGGGTTGGCGATGCTCAAAAATCAAAGTGACAGATACGGAAACAAAAATTTCTAACCCCAAACAGAAGCAAATGTGATCCAATATGGACATGACCCAAGATGTCCACTTTGGAGGACTCGGTGGTGCCACTAGCATTGGACACCTTGTCTGTTTTCTGTGACCTCTGTGCCATCTGGCAAAACCAAGCGGAGCAAGCCCTAGGGGCTTGAGTTGGCCAGGGCCCTTGAACACCAATCTATTTATCTGAAGTAGGAGGAGATGAAAACGAACTTGCAAGAGGAGGGTCTGGTACTTTCATCCGCCAATAAGCACCTTTAGGGAATGATGCTCCTTTGACTGTCCACCCAGGCTGTTAGGAGGATTAAAGTAGATGCTGTTTGTGGACTCCTAGACTACACACACACACACACACACACACACACACACACACACACACTCACACACACACCAGGGATTGCATTTTAATTTATTCAAATGAGCACCATCCAAGCAACAGTTTGTCTGGTGGCCCTTCGATGTACATAAAAATATAGATATTCCAGAAAATGAGGGTTCCATTTGCTTTTTTAATACAACCTGGGCCTTCATTTCTGCACTTTCTAGACCCTTCCCTTTGTCCACAAGTTCTGGGGCTGGACCATACC